CTTAATCCACAAGACAATAAGGTTATAATATCTTATTTCAAAAAAAAAAAATTAACGTTTACATTAAGGTTAGTAATACATATACATCCTGATTTGTTAAGGTTTAATATTTAATTTTAATTATTAATATAATATATATTATGAATAAGTAAGATTTTTTTATAAATAATTTATAAAAATAGAAAAACAACAACTCAATCCAACTCAACTCAAGCACTGGGAGTTGGGTTGGTTGTGTTGGTTGTGTTGAGGTGAATTGTGAATTCTATTCCGATTGTTAGGGTCACCATCCCAACCAACCCAAAATTTAGAGTTGATCCGAAAGATTTTTTCAACCCTACCCAACCTAACCCGTAAGCACTCCGAGTTGAAATTTGTGCACTGATCAAGCTTAAGTTAGTGTAAAACTTAACTTGATTTACTTGAAATGAGCGAGTTCAGAATTGAAGATTAATTATCTCAATTCCATTGGTTAAAATCTTGTTTAGTATAGTATGAGAAAGAGAAAATGGTGTATGAAATGTTGCAGATTGAGAACGAGTATGGACCACAAAGCAAGTTATTTGGGGCAGCTGGTCATAACTACATGACTTGGGCAGCAAACATGGCTGTTGGACTACAAACTGGAGTCCCATGGGTTATGTGCAAGGAAGAAGATGCTCCTGATCCAGTGGTAACCCATTCCACTCCCTTTACTATTTCTTCTTCACTATCAAAATCAAATCCAAAACATTTATAGTTTCACTTTGTTGTTTTCTGGTAGATCAACACATGTAATGGGTTTTACTGTGATGCATTCTCTCCCAACAAACCCTACAAACCTACAATGTGGACAGAGGCTTGGACTGGTTGGTATGTAAAATCTCTACATTAACACCAATTTTGACTCACTTCTTACTGCATAATCATTGTATTCTGTGTTTGATTCTGTTCTCTTGCTATCAAACATGAAGGTTTTCCGAGTTCGGTGGTCCGTTGCATCAACGGCCGGTTCAAGACATGGCATTTGCAGTGGCTAGATTCATTCAAAGAGGAGGATCCTTAGTGAATTATTATATGGTTGGTTGTCTTTAGCAGGAATCCAAGAGTTTCAGAATGTTTTGAATACTAATCATCCTCTGTTGTTTCTATATGATACAGTACCATGGTGGGACGAACTTCGGACGCACGGCCGGGGGTCCGTTCATTACTACCAGCTACGATTACGATGCTCCAATCGACGAGTATGGTGAGAATTCGACATTATATGCTTAATTTCACCAAGGTTTCTGTCAGAAGCATGGGACAATAAATTCAGCATAAGAGATATCAGCTTTACCAGCATTCCAGCATGCTTGTTAGATTGATTTTGAAAGGTTTTCTCACTCAACTGCTTCACAGGGCTATTGAGGCAACCGAAATATGGTCATCTAAAGGAGCTTCACAAGACTATTAAATTGTGCGAGCCAGCTTTGGTTTCAGCTGATCCTATAGTTACTTCATTAGGGAATAATCAACAGGTTTTCCAATCCTGCACATCTTTTCATAGTCCATGTCGTTTGTATATTTTTTAAGTCAGAAGTTGAAAACTTACGTTTTTTTCTCTGCATCAGGCTCATGTATACTCTTCTGAATCTGGAGGATGTGCAGCATTTTTATCAAACTATGATATGAAATCATTTGTGAGAGTTCTGTTCAATAACAGGCATTACAATTTACCTCCTTGGTCGATCAGCATCCTTCCTGACTGCAGAAATGCGGTTTTCAACACTGCAAAGGTTCGACCATTAGAGAGCTTAGTAGTATAACTTCATAGGATCTGTAATCGAGGTTGAACTTATCGATGTCTACCTTTTTAAACATCCCTCTAGGTTGGAGTTCAAACTTCACAGATGGGAATGTTGCCTGCAGAATCTACTACGCTTTCCTGGGAAAGTTATTTTGAAGATATATCTGCACTAGATGACAGCTCGATGATGACTTCTCCTGGTTTATTGGAACAGATAAATGTCACTCGTGACACGAGTGACTACTTGTGGTACATAACCAGGTGATACATGTGTTTCTTTCATCCTTCTAAATGTAATTGACAAAACCTTTTGTGAGATCCTACATTGGTTGGAGAGGGGACAAAACATTCCTTACAAGAGTGTAAACTTCTCTCTAATAGACGAGCTTTAAAACCTTGAGGGGAAGCCCAGAAAGGAAAACAAATAGGACAATATCTGTTAATGGTGGGCTTGGGCTGTAACAAATGATATCAAAGCCAGACACCGGGCGGTGTGCTTGGGCTGTAACAAATGATATCAAAGCCAGACACCGGGCGGTGTGCCAGAGAGGACGCTGGCCACCATGGGGGGTGGATTTTGAGGTCTCACTTCGGCTGGAGAGGAGAACGAAGCATTCCTTACAAGGGTGTGGAAATCTCTCCCTAACATACGCATTTTAAAACATTGAGGGGAAGCTCAGAAGGAAAAGTCCAAACAGGACGATATCTGCTAGTGGTGGACTTGAGTAGTTACATAGTTATTGGTGGACTTGGGTTGTTACATAGCTAACATAGTTATTGGCATTTTATAATTCATAGTCAATCAGAAAAAATGTGGGAAGCAAACTTCAAAAGTTTGATTCAATTAACCAGACCTCTCTATCTTTACAGCATAGATATCAGTTCATCTGAACCCTTTCTACATGGAGGAGAATTGCCCACTCTGCTTCTTCAATCGTCAGGCCATGCCGTGCACATCTTTATTAACGGGCAGCTTTCGGGTACTTTCACTCGCCAAATGCCTGCCTAGCCTTTATGATTGATAAAACTCACCATCCGCTATTATTAGGTTCCGTTTCCGGGTCAAGAAAGAACAGGAGGTTCACATATTCTGGGAAGGTTAATTTGCGAGCCGGAACAAACAAAATTGGTTTGCTTAGTGTCGCTGTTGGATTACCGGTAAGATAAACAGAGTGAACCTAACCATTGAGCATAAAGTCTTCTTTTAGTATGCTAATCTTTGTTGTTTTCTATTAAGAATGTGGGAGGACATTTTGAGACATGGAACACAGGAATCCTTGGTCCAGTTGTTCTCTACGGGCTTCGCCATGGAAGATGGGACCTATCCTCACAGAAGTGGACTTACCAGGTACCTATAAACTTCATTTCTTGGGTCCACATTGGTTCAGAAGAAACATTTCTTAACCCGTTCACTGCCACTTTACAACAGGTTGGGCTGAAAGGAGAAGCCATGGATCTAATATCTCCAAGTGGATTTTCTCCTGTTGAATGGATGCAAGCATCAATGGCTGCTCAAACACCTCAGCCGTTAACTTGGCACAAGGTAACAATATAAGAAAACGTACAATTCAAGCTTTTACACGAAGGCAAACTCTGGTTGAAGACATCGATGTTACCTCTCTTGAACTTTGCAGGCTTATTTTGATGCTCCTGATGGAGAGGAGCCTTTGGCCTTGGACATGGATGGAATGGGGAAAGGTCAAATATGGATTAATGGGCAGAGTATCGGAAGATACTGGACAGCGTTTGCTCGTGGTAATTGCAGTCGATGCAACTATGCTACAGCATTTAGGCCTCCAAAGTGTCAGCTAGGCTGTGGCCAACCAACTCAAAGATGGTAATTGTCCATGATAACTACCTAATCTAGACTTAACTAGTGCTTTATTAAACGACCAAGATTTGGTTTTAGGTATCATGTACCTCGTTCTTGGCTAAAGCCAGAACAGAACCTGTTGGTGGTTTTCGAGGAAGTTGGAGGAAATCCCTCAAGAATCTCTATTGTGAAGAGATTGGTAACAAGTGTTTGTGCTGATGTTTCTGAATTCCACCCAACTTTCAAGAACTGGCAAAATACAGCAAGATTCCGTACACCCAAAGTTCACCTCAGTTGTGATCCAGGTCAGTACATTTCTTCCATCAAGTTCGCGAGCTTCGGAACCCCATTGGGAACTTGCGGGAGCTACCAGCAAGGAAGTTGCCATGCCCCTACCTCACATGCCATTCTAGAGAAGGTTCTAAGAACAAACTCCTGTGGATACTTTCTAGCACTTAGTATTCAAATAGCAAGAAGATCTAGATCCTTGGATAAAAACAGCTACTAATTACTACTTCTTTGCTCATTTTTCGGCAGAAATGCGTGGGAAAGGAGAGATGCGTTGTTACCGTATCGAACAGCAACTTCGACGACCCGTGTCCAAATATGATGAAGCGATTATCTGTTGAAGCAGTATGTAATCCCACAACTTCTACAAGTCAATTCAACTGGGGAGGTTAACTTGATAAAAACAAAAAGCTGACTTCTAGCCACTTATCAACCATGGATTCAGTGATATGATTATACACACAGCACAAGCAAGAGTAAGCAAGCAAAGGTATAGAGCAAGAATAGTAGTGTTCAGTTTTCATCCTGGATACCTGTACAGCCAAAGGAAGTTAGTTTCAAATGGTTTAGCAGCTTCCATACCATAGTGTTTGTTAGAAAAGAAAAAAGTATTTGTTTTGTGTGGGGTGATTTGTTCATTCTAGGATCCTAAGTTGAATCTCTCAAGCTACCTTCCCTTCCATTTTAGAGGGAAGCACAAGCTTTTATCTATTTGTCTTCATGCTGGGAGGAGTTTCCTGGTGTAACATTGTGATTTCTTGAATGCCCAGAAAAAAGTTATTTATCCGCAAACAATACAACTTTGTTCGTCATTTGAGTCTCCTCCTCTAAAGCTATCGAATAACCTCCTCTTAATCGAGCCTCGACTCTTTCTCTGGAGCCCTCAAACAAAGTACAACCTTTGTTCGACACTTGAGGATTCTATTGTCATGACTAAATTAAGGGTATGACTCTGATACCATGTTAGTAACCACGACCCTCCATAGTGGTATGATATTGTCCACTTTGAGTATAAACTCTCGTGGTTTTGCTTTTGGTTTCCCCAAAAAGCCTCATACCAATGGAGACAGTGTTCTTAATAATCCTCAACCGAACTTACTAGAATTCATGAACTCTATTAAAGTGCGCAACAAAATAACAAGGATTTGTACAAATACAACGAAGGAAAGCATCCAGAATGTAAAAGATGTTGAAACATTACAACTGAACCAAGTTTTTGAAGACATAAGTACCAAGAATGAACCAACCAACCAGGAAGACATTGAAGAATGCCAAGAAGGTAAGGAAAGTAGTACCGCCCAGTGCGAGTCCAATGCTGAATACCACAACAAATGGTAACAACGTCCTGATTACAGCTCCTTTACTGACCCACCGACCCTTGAGGAAGATCAGAGCAGCAAGGTTCACCACATTCCATCCACCTGTGCGAAACCCAAGTCTGTTCAGATTATTAGCCACAAAGGAATGACAATTGCAAGTCAAGAGATTGTAGGATCGGTGCTGGAACTCTTGAGTGCTCCTCCGCAATGCATCATCCCATGTTGAAATTTCTCCATCTCTGAATTCATCTTCTTCACTTCTGCGAGTGACAATGCAACAACACTGCATATCGATTGCAACAAAATCAGCCAAAAAAGTAGGGAAAGAGGTTCCGATCACAGTATCATGCATGGATTTTGGTACCTTGTCGCTGCTGATTTGAAGATACCGAGCGACTGCGCCAAATGTGAAGTTGTCGACACACACAAAATTGGGGCCTGCGAAGTCTAAGATTACTCCATCCTCTCTGCCAATGCCGATGTGACCAATGAAAGGAACGAGCCAGGAAATAACAGGAAGAGGTGTCCACACAATGCAACATGGAAACCGAGCTCGCTCCGGATCAATCTTCATATTCTGAGCGATATTTCCTTCGATCATCATCTGATTCTCAGGATCGTTGCTTGATTCCATTTCCAAAGTCATAAAATGCTGGAAAAAAGACGCTCAATTGAGTAGTGACAGAATCAGTTCGAAGGAAACCCCTCGGCTATCTACAATCCGATAACGATAACAAATCAGTAATTGAGACCGAGACGAAGCTCCCGAATCTCCTCAACTTTAGGGATAGCCAAACAGCAGTCAGAATAAAGAATCAAACAGGTAAAACAAGCAAGCTACGGAAAGGATTTGAAGAACAAACGAACAGTTTTTGAGGGAAAAGTATGAGAAGAAGTTGAAGTTTACCTAACGGAACAGATTTGGTGAAGAAAGATCTTCTGAACGAGCTACTAATCTCCGATCAATTTGATCAGTTTGCGGACCGAGGGGTTTTTTTTTTCTAGAACTGATCGGTATATATTCAAAACGACGTCGTTTATACCTGCTTCGATAAGCTTTTGAAGTTCAGAATTCAGAACAAATTTGGCCAATAGTTTTGTGATCGGCTCTCTCTCGTGGTTGAACTCCGTCGAAGTTCCGATGCCGCCGAAGCCGGCAAGCAATCCTCCAGCTGTGGTGGATTTAACCAGCAGCGACGATGAGGAGCCTGCAGCGAACACAGTTTCAAACAAACTAGCGTCGAATTCTCAGACGAGACGCCAAGAGCGCCGAGGCAGTTCTACGCCGGTTTTACTATCATCATCGGATGATAAAGCCGCTGATAGCCGCTGTTTTTGGAAAGCCGGAAATTTCGACGTCGGTCTTACTGCAAGGCCTATACCTGCTGCTGATGGTTATCCTTTGTTCTGCGTTTAATGTTTGTATTTATTTGTTTGATTCCGTGATGCTGATTATGAAAACATAACAGAAGAATTGGAGCATGCCCGAGTTCATCCGAAGTTTCTTCATTCCAATGCTACTTCTCACAAATGGGCGTTTGGCGGTAAAGCTTTTATTACTCGAAAGCGTTGATTCTTCAGTGGCTGAGCAATTTCTTGAATGTGGTTCTTCTGGTGTGCTTTGAGTTATCTCTCCTTTGTCCTTTAATTTACATTTGTTCATCTAATGCAGCAATTGCTGAACTTCTGGATAATGCTGTGGACGAGGTATGTTATTGTTTATATAACGTTTAGTGCTTCTTGAACTCATACCCAATTAAATTAACTATATGGAATAAACGAGCCAATTTTTGTTGCTGGGGTGTGAGATCCCTCGTTGGTAGAGGAGAACGAAGCATTGCTTTATAAGGGTGTGAAAACTTGTTGGTAGAGGAGAACGAAGCATTCCTTTATAAGAGTGTGAAAACTTGTCCCTAGCAGATGCATTTTAAAACCTTGAGGAAAAGCTCGGAAGGGAAAGCCTAAAGAGAACAATATCTGCTAGCGGTGAGCTTTGGCTGTTACAAATGATATCATAGCTAGACACCGGACGGTATGCCAGCGAGGACGCTGGCCCCCAAGGGGGGTTGATTGTGAGATCCCATATTGGTTAGAGAGGTGAACAAAATATTCCTTATAAGGGTGTGGAAACCTCTCTCTAACAGACGCGTTTTAAAACTGGAAGGGAAGGCCTAAAGAGGACAATGTTACATGAAAAAACCCCAAAACTTCTAACATTGAAACGAAAAGTTCGATTTGGTTTGCATCTTGTGAAGTGTTGTGGTTCTACGTCCCAGATACTCGAAATTATGACTCAAGCAGGATGAAAAATAGAATATTAGTTGATCATGTTGAACGGGAGGTGCAGGGTTCTTAAGTTATGCTTCATGGCTAAAGGGATACAGTAGTGATGTAAAGGAAAGACAAAAAGAAGGAAGTCATATAGATGAAGTATTGTAAATTACTCGACTATGGTGCAGCCTTCTGTAAACACAGCCATTCATCAATTTCAGATACACAATGGGGCAACGTTTGTGAAGGTTGATAAAGTTGATATAATGAAGGATAACTCTCCAGCTTTACTTTTCCATGGTATTGTGTTATTCTTGTTAATTTCATGATATGCAGTTCCATTGTTTAGTTTTGGATCTAACCACATGAACAAGTGATATTTTATGCAGATGATGGTGGGGGAATGGATCCTGATGGCATCCGGAAATGTATGAGTCTAGGATATTCTTCAAAGAAGTCAAACACAACAATAGGACAATGTAATTTCTTTTTTTGCTCTTCTAGTTCGTAGCTTTACCTTATGTGAGATCCCACATCGGTTAGAGAGGAGAATGAAACATTCTTTACAAGAGTGTGGAAACCTCTCTCTAGTAGACGCGTTTTAAAACTGTGAGGTTGACAACGATACGTAACGGGCCAAAGCGGACAATATCTACTAGTGGTGGGTTTGGGTTGTTACAAATGGTACCAGAGCCAAACACCGGGCAATGTGCCAACGAGGACGCTGGGACCCCAAGGGGGGTGGATTGTGAGATCCCGCATCGATTGGAGAGGAGAACGAAACATTCCTTGTAAGGGCGTGGAAACCTCTCCCTAGTAGACGCGTTTTAAAGCCGCGAGGCTGACGACAATACATAACGGGCCAAAGCGGACAATATCTTCTAGCGGTGGGTTTGGGTTGTTACAAAATTGTGAGATCCCATATCGGTTGAAAAGGAGAACGAAACAGTCCTTATAAAGGTGTGGAAATCACTCCCTAGTAGACACGTTTTAAAACCATTGAAGGGAAAACTCAAAGCGGACAATATCTACTTGCAGTGAGTTGGGCTGGTACACGTTAATAGTAAAGTCATTAGGTTCAAGTCCTGACTTTATTGGTCTTGAATCAAATGCCATATCTTTCATTTATGAAATTTATTTCTTAGTTCAGTTTTTTTTCTTGTGTAAATTTTGAGTACATGTTTATCTGTCTCTTCCTAACGATGTCACCAGACACGTGCCTTTTCCCGTGCATTGAATATTTTTTAGAATGTTAAGCTACTTTGAGATCTCAAACCAACTGACACTTGATAGCTTTTGCTTCTACGTTCCAAAATACAAATCATTTTCAACTTCATCTTTGGATGCTAACCAGATGTTTGAATAATTTCGAAGGCATCAAAATAGTTTTCTGATTTTCTAGATACACTGTAACCAAATATACTGCTTTGGTTTTTTCTTTGTCGTGACATCCTACTCGTGTGTGTTCTAGATGGGAATGGATTTAAAACAAGCACCATGCGACTTGGAGCCGATGCAATTGTTTTCACTCGTGCGATTCATGGAGGGTACTTCTTGTTCTAGAAATTCTAGTAAAATATTAATTATGCATGGTCTTTGCACCTTCTCCTTTTCAATTAAATTTAAACTTTTTTTTACCATTCTCTATTCAGTTACATTATTTATTTTGCTTAGGGTTCCTGTATGTACGATTTGAATTTAATATTTTGTAGTGATGTTAGTGTGAGATCCCACACCAATTAGAGAGGGGAACAAAGCATTCCTTATAAGAGTGTGGAAACCTCTTCCTAGTAGACGTGTTTTAAAACTGTGAGGCTGACGCCGATACGTAACAGCCGAAGTGGACAATATCTACTAGCGGTAGACTTGAGCTGTTACAGTTAGATTCTGAGTGAGCAATAATTTAATATTTTGTAGTGATAGTTTGATGCAGTAGAACCTTGATTTTCCAGAACTACTGTTTTTCTTATTCATAAGGAAGAATGAAAAATTCTTAGCCTTGTTCCAGGATTTAAATTGATAATTTGATACCAAAACTGTTTCAAACTTAAGTTTTTTCAGTAGGACGCAACCTGGGTGCACACATCCTAAAAAAGTTTAGCGTAGGACATAGAAAGCATGCCTCTATTTCTTTCTTCGTACTCTGACTGACAAGGGTCAAAGTTATGCATAAATGCCATCGCTTGCCTCAAGACTTAAGAACTTAATCTCAACGTGCACTTTCTCCTAAAATTGCTGGTGTGAACATGTGCGGACTTCACTTAATTGTCTCTGCTAGATTTTTTACGTCAGGCCGTGTGAAGCCATTGTTGGCAAGTTATAACATATCTTAGCGGAATATTTAAACTCAAATTTCCATCATCTATATAATACTCATTTTCTGTTCCCTTTTGTGAGAAATGCAATAAGTTTTGAAGTTTTTTTTCGATGCTGATTTTTAATTATGTTTTCCTTGTGTTCTTATATCAACTAGCACTGCAACTCAAAGTGTTGGCCTTTTATCCTATACCTTTCTACGGATGACCGGCCAGGATGATGTTATTGTTCCAATGGTAATATTCTTTTTGTCTTAATATTTTATTTTCCCCCTCTGGCCTCCGCCTTTGCCATCAGCCCCCCTAACAGCCAGACTTCTTACTTTCTGTTTGGTTCATTGTAGATTGATTTCGACATTTCAGGACATTGGGCAGAACCAATAATTAATGGCTCTCAAGATGATTGGTCTTCTAATTTGAAAACTATCCTCGAATGGTCTCCTTTTGCATCAAAGGAGGACCTCCTGATACAGGTTCGTATGTATCCATTCAATTTATTGAACTTCCACCAGTGGCTAAGTATGTAATTACAAGGGGGAAAAGTTCCAAGAAACATAGTTTCACCATGTAATACTAATTTTTTATTATTTTGTTATTTTCCTTGTCTTTTTTGTGGTTTCGTCTGCAGTTCGAGGATATTGGACGTCATGGAACAAAAGTTATTATATTTAATCTCTGGTTGAATGATGAAGGCATTTATGAATTGAATTTCGACGATGATGACGAGGTATTTCACATTTTATTGATAAGCTTCATTTCACTTTCACATTGTTGATGGGTGTCAAGACCTTTGGTTTCTTACAAAGGAAATAGCCTGATTTGGATGCAGTAATGGCAAAGTTGGTACATTTTAGAACCATAAGTTTGTTCATTGTCAAAGAATTTGTGGTTCAAGGAGGAAGGTTTTACGTTCGTTTATTCAAACAAATGTGCAAAGCTTTCTAAATAGTTGGTTTGAGATTTTTTTCTAGAGGATCATGTTCAGTGTACACTTAAATGGAGTTGCGTGAAAAGTATCTATAAATGTCTTTCGATCTTTGATAATAGGACATACGGTTGAGGGATGAAGCTAATCAAGGAGGTTTGAGAAAACTGCGTAAAAGCGTTGCTGCATTGCAATCACATATTTCTTATCGTATCCGCTATTCGTTACGGGTAACTTTTTATTTTAATTCTACAAATTGGTGGTATATTTCACAATAATTCCATCAGCCTGAAAACTTTTGAATTTTCTCATTGTTTAATAGGCATATATTTCAATATTATATCTGAAAAGATTTACGAACTTCAACATCATCCTGAGGGGAAAGACAGTTGAGCAGCGGTGTATTGCAGATGACTTGAAGTATTCAAAAGTAGTTATATATAAGCCTCAAATACCCATAGCCAAAGAGGTTAGCTTTGAATTGTT